TTGGACTTAATATATGATTCAATTCTTTCCAGTCCTACCCTGTAAGCATCAGAAGTTTCGTCAGACGAACGATGGATTCGCATTTATAACAGTCGGCATCGATTTCGTCTTTCTTTAATTCCAGAAATGGCAAGATCATCTTGTGAATTTTCTTACCAATCTCACAATCAAGGTGCAACTGAGTAATATTGAAATAAAGCCTCTTAGAAATTAAACAGAAAATGTTACGTTGTTTCAAAAGCATTAAATTGTCTCATTGCAAATAAATCAATTGATCCCTAGACTTAGACAAATCCGACTCAATCTTCTCTATCCATATGTGCCTCTCATCGCTTTTCGATGAAACCCTGATAATTTGATCAGTTAGGTTAGAGTTTCTCAAACGAGTTCTTTTTTTACTGTCACTAATGCTTGAAAAGGTGAATTTTAGGTCATTTAATTTAGTTTCGTATCTAGACACAGGTATATTGAGAGATTCAAGAATTATATTTACCTTGTTGATCAGCTGTTAACACTCATTGATTTGTTCAGGAACTGGTCTTGCTGCGAAACAGCTATCATCTCCACCTCCACTCTCAGTGGCATTCCCTGCATCTGTGACCTTTCGTTAGTCACCATCAAGCATCTTCCTCCAAACTGCGAACTCTCTTCTTTCGCAACGAACGCCCTGCCATGCGTGGGCCTACGAACCTCGTCATCTTCAGAGTTTGTTAACCAGACCTCAACTCCTCCAAACTCGTTTTTAGCAAGATTTTCCTACACAATTTCTTCCTCCTTTTGAGAACCATTTTTATTCTACTCTTTCACCTTTTCAGAGTTGTAGCTGCCCTACCAATTTCGGTTCTTGTTTGAGGGAAACTTCTTCTTTGCGAACCGCTTAGGATTTGAAACCATTAAAGCATACTCCTCGTTCGTAATCTCGCATTCAGAATGATCAGACTCAGACCCATCCTCTACAACTGTCTTGCCCTTCGCAACGAGAGCCAGAGATCCCATTCCAGAAACAACTTTCACTTCTTTTGTCACCTCACTTTCGTGTGCCTTCAGAATCCTAACAAGCTTGGCTAAGGTATAGTTTTTAAATTGCTCATGCGCCTTGACGGTAGAAACCACTGCCATCCACTCAGATCTAAGCCTGGTCATGAGCGTAACATTTTTCTTGATTACTTCTCATCCAATACCATGTTTCATCATCTTACTCAGAAAATGATTATAGCGATTGAAAGTTGAACTCAAACTTTCTTCAGGCTTTTATGCGAAGGCACCAAACTCTAAAAGCAAGAGTGTTTGAGTAGAATGCTCAAGATCTGCATCAGTAGAGTAAAGTTCCTTGAGCCTATCCCAAATAACTTTTGCAGTGTCACACGAACTAACCAGACGAAAGGTATCAGATGGAAAAGCGAATCGAATGATCCTAATTGCTTTAACATTGCTGATTAGCTTTTCTTTCTCATCATGAGGAACTTCTTTTACATCAAGAAGCAGCTGGTTGTATTCCTTCTGAGTTTTAATAACTCTTTTGGTTGTTGTGTGAACAAATGCACCTAGAGTGATGGCTTTAACCGTTATCCTCTAGACCGAGAACGTAATCATCGAAGTGAAGTGCCCAAACTTCATACTCATTGGGAAAGAGAATCAGGATCCTTGTTGTCGATCCAATGCTACTGGAGAGATTTATGGAGTTGATGTGAGAATCGTGGTGTTGCATGATGATTTTTCGTTTGAAACCTGTTAAGAATCAGAAGTGTAAACTAAAGAAGTTTTAGGGTAATATTAAGATCACAGAATAGCATCAAGAAAATGATGATGACGATCAAACTAGATCTAATATTAACGGAAACCCTAATGACTCTATAAACAGAAGAGATGCGTATAGATTACACAGTCTCTCGCTCTGATACCAATTGTTAGGATGATAATCCTTGAAAGATTGTTTAGATTCAAACAAATTAATAACAAGAACACCACGATGATCCAAAATATGCTGAATGATTAAAAGGTCACGCCTCAGAAGAACTCGACTAAGAATTGCTACTGTAGAGGCGTGATTAGGGTTATAAAGTAATTATCAGAGTCTTTTAAAATATGATGCATGCATGCATCTTAAATACTCTAACCCTAGTAAATAAATACGGGAGTACAGGCCCAACCCGTTTACAAAACAAACTATACATAAGGCCCAATAACGCAACACATTATACCCAACATTAGAGGTGATGATCATGATGGTATAGAGTCTTTAAAGCGTGATTTGGCTCACTGTTTTGCTATGAAAAACTTGGATTTGCTACGTTATTTCTTGGGGATTGAAGTTGCTCAGTCTCCAAAGGGTTATCTTTTATCTCAAACGAAGTATATTTCAGACTTGTTTGAACGCGCACGACTCACGGATAATCGGACAGTTGATACGCCTATAGAGAGTAATGCAAAGTATTCTCCAACTGATGGTGTCCCCTTATCAGATCCAAGCCTTTATCGTACCATTGTAGGGAGTTTGGTTACCTGACTGTCACTAGACCGAATATTGCTCATGCAGTTCATGTGGTTAGCCAGCTTGTCACTGCCCCTTCTACTGTCCATTGGGGAGTCGTTCTTCGTATTTTGACATATCTTCGTAATACTCAGTTTCACACCCTTGTGTTTCCATCTACATCCTCTCTTGAGTTGCCTACCTATAGTGATGCTAATTTGGATAGTGATATTTATGATCATAGTCCAATATTGGGTATTGTGTTTTTCTTACAGATTCATTGATATCATGGAAGAGTAAGAAACAAGATGTTATCTCTTGTTCTTCTACAGAATCCGAGTATCGAGCCATGGCTATCGCCACTTGTGATATCTCCCTTCCTTCCTTATGTTCCTTCCACCTTGCAGATTGTTGATATTCTTACGAAGCCTTTGACTGCTCCTCGATTTCATTTTATGTGTGACAAACTTTCAATGTTTATTGATGTTGCATTATGAGTTTAAGGGATGATGTTAGCCTAATTAGATTTTGGGCTTTATTTTGTATTGGGTTTTATATTGGCCCATTATCTAGGAAACCCTAATTAGTTAGGGTTGTTTGGCAGGATCTGAATTTTTAAGATCTGAATTTTTAAGAGGTCTGAATTTCTAAGAGGATCTGAATTTTTAAGATCTGAATTTTTATCATGTTGTTTGGCTGGAACCTCTGAATTGTAACCTGAATAATAAAAATGACAATTTTACCCTTCCTTAGTTTTGTGTTGTGCTAAATGATAAATGCATAATTGATAAAAACTACAAATGATCATACAATAACCAAATTAAACATAAATTCTTCCAAATTCACTTCTTTCAATCAATGGAAACATAAACATCATACGATATAACCAAATTAAACATAAATTCTTCCAAATTTGCTTCTTTCAATCCATGGAAACGTAAATATCATACCCATGGAAACATAAATATCATATAATAGCCAAATAAAATATGTTTCTATTTTTTGCTACTGCAAAAATTACGTTTCTATCACTCTTATCTCAGCAGAAAGTTAGACAAAACAGTTGTTGATTTGAATGAACTTCAAAACATGGTGGTGCCTTTGATCTCAGCTTCTCTATTTGGTCATACAAATTATAATTGAGATAATTGCAGAGTAGCAGGTTCAAGAGTGTTTCCTGCCATCATACATTTCAATATTCATAAATCACACCACCAACAATGATCACAATAACGATTATTATAAACAAATCTCAGAGCCAATTTCACGAGAATTCTAAATTTCAAAACAGTATATAATAAGCAAAGTTCGTTCCTAGAGTGTATACACATTTTTTCTTATAATCAGTCGCTCAATAACATATAATGGAAATCAAATTCATCAATAAACAACCGATATGATCAAACAAACAATGATAGAGATCAAATTTTGAGAGATTTCACGGAACAAATTTCGATGAGATTTAAAGGAACAAATTTTTTTTACCTAAATGTTGTTCTCAACGAGATGTCACGGAACTGAAGGGCGTCGCTGGCGGCGGGGCTGCCGGAAGCGATGGCAAAGGCACCGACGATGGTGGATGATTTTGCAAGTCCGACCAGCAGCGGAAGGGAGAAGACAGGCTGCGTCGAGTGAAGGACAACGAGAAGAGGGCAAGAGTTGGGTTCGCTGCAGAGCCGCCGGTGGCGCTGGCGATGGATTAGGGTGGAGGTCGGAGGTGGGTCTCGCAAAGCGGCAAGGAGAAGATGTCGGCGTTTTGTTGGAGATGTGTGGGAAGGAAAAACAACCCGTGAGAAATAGAAAAAGAAGAGTGGAGCGGTGGGCAAAAAAGGAACACGCCTCTCTTATTTTTTTTCAGACTCTACCTTATATCTAAAATATTAAGAGCCTTTTAAAAGATTAAGAGACAAAAAATAAGAAGCTATCAAACAAGCTATATCTGAATTTTTAAGAGGTTACCTCTTAATTTTTCAATTAAGAGGTAAACAAACAGGGCCTTAGTCTATATATTATGTATTTTCCTTTCATTGTATCTTGTACTTCTTATTTGATAATAATACGAAACTCAGCCGTTTTATGTCTTGTTAGTTTACAGAGTATGCCTCAGATCCTAAAAGAAAGGGAGACAAATATTTATATATAAAAAAAAAGTCCTATGATAATGTCACATATTAACTAAAGAAATAAATGCTTGTCTTTGCATATAGTAATTGTTTTAAAAGTATTTTACACCAAAAAATATAGTTAATAAAAATAAAATTCTTCTATTTATGAACACATACACGGTTCTCAACAAATAAACAACTTGTAGATTATTGCACCGTCATTACAATCATGTGATAAGCATAAGGTCCATCTCATTGTCCATCCTAAAATTAAATTTCCATTTGATTAAATATTTAGCATATTACGACGACAAAAAAATTAAAACTTAAGATATAACAATGCCAAGTCAAACACTCAAAGTTGACCAAATTGGCCCTAACTTGCTATTTATACCACACTCCAGTGACTCTCCTCCACCCATTCACTGAATGTGAAGAGAGAGAAAAATGGATGAAGAAGATAACACCCGACCCGAATACATTCCACATGAACTGGTATCCGAAATACTCACACGACTCGACGTCAAATCATTGACCCGATTCCGCTCCGTCTCTACCCGATGGAATTCCACCATTGTCCATCCATCTTTCTCAAAGTTCCACCTCTCCAACTCCTCCGCCGGCGCCGGAGCTCCTGTCACCCTCGTCCTCTCCTTCATCAACCGCTTTAACTCCGAACGCACCGTCTTCTCCGTCAAGATTCCGCCAAACCAAACCAAATCCCTACCAAACCCAACTCACATCCTTACAATCCCTGGATTCGCCCACCCCTTCGTCTCACAGTCTCTAAATGGCCTTATCTGCTTCAATCTGGGAGCTATGTGTGTTTGCAATCCTTCCACTCGTAAATTCCTTAAGCTTCCATGGACGAAAGCGGAGATCTCTCCACTGTCTCCGGCGTCAACACATCACCGGAGAAACGCCTTCGGGTTTGACCCGGTATCCAATGCACACAAGGTGCTCGACACATGGATCACATGTCACGAAGACGAGATGATCATGGAACACAAGATATTCACCGTCGGAGCAGGTTGCAACAAGTGGCGGAGAATCGCCGACGGCCCGCCGTATTTCCCTTTCAACGAGAGTGTCTGTATAAACGGCCAGATCTACTTCAGGGCTCTCACGAGTGTGACAGCTTCGGAAGAAGCTGTAATGGTCGCGTTTGACGTCAATCGTGAAGAATTCCGATTCATTCAGATTCCTGATGATGCGATTTCCAATTCCGAAGAAGCTGTTCTAATCGAACTCGATCAGCGTTTGGCTATAGTTCACCACCAAGATAACATACTGTCGATGTGGGTACTGATAGACGAGGAAGATGCCAAATGGTTGAAGAAGCGCGTGGAGATTCCAGGGATGTGTAGTGAGATAAACGATCGTCGGAGATTCAAATTTGCCGGGACCACATTTTCCGGCGAGTTGATATTTGCAGAGAGAAGCTTAATGAAGGCGTTCTATGTGTTCTTGTATGATCTGAAGAAGAATGAAGCTAAAAAAATAGAGATTTGTGGGCTAACAGATTTTAAGTTCGATTATAGTAGCGCTCTCATGAATGTTATCAGTGTTAACGAACATGTAGAAACCATTAAGTGTTTAACCTAGGTTACAACTTTTATTGCATAACCTACAAGTCAATATAACATGATTACGTTGTATGTATCATCTAGACTATATGATATTGGAAAAGTGCATTCTGTATTTGTACAGTACAACTCAACAATGCATGACATAAATTCACGAGGCACAAACAGTCGAGAAAGAAAGCGTAGTTTTGTCTTAGGCTCCAGGGTCCGAGGCAACTTTTCTTTTTTCTTGGAAACTTTCTTTCTCCAGGGGCCCCACCTTGGGATAATCGGATTAGGCTCCAACAGTAGTTTGAGTTTGAGTCCGAGGCAACTTTTCTTTCTTCTTGGAAACTTTCTTCTCCACGGGGGGCCCACCTTCGGATTCTGACGGGATTTCGATCCTAGCAAAAATGGGATTGGGTGGAGCCATGATTTGCCCACTCTTGAGCCCACCCCATTGCGTATCGTTCTGCATTTTAAAAGGTTTATAGTCAATGACGTTTACAGGCACAACTAGCAATTTCCAGCCAGTAGACAAGACAGGACAATACTATACTTTATACTTTATACTGTATTTGACATGAATACCCTCTGATCGAAAATAATTTTACCATAAATAGAATTACAAACAAATCACGATGATGAGAGAGGGAGAATACCCAGGTGGTGGCACTGAATTGTTCTGGGGTGTATCCAAGTTGCTGATAAATTCGGAGACATAAATTTGGTGCAACAGGGGACAATGCAACCGCAATAATCCTCATTGCTTCTAATATAATCACAAGGTCCTGCTCCACAAGAACAAATAAGAATTCTAAATGTACAAATTCAACCCTTTTCATGAATTGGTTTTTGTGTTCAAATCAATATATTATCTTCGGTTGACGATATCTAATAATTGGAGTTAAATTTGTAACATATTTTGCATTTAAATGGTTGGATATGAGGAGTTATAAAGACCTTTGCAGCTGAATCAAAAGATGTGCCTCCTTTTTTAAAAAGAGACCATGGTGCGTGCTCATCAATGTAAAGATTCCCTGCATTTCCGATCTCTAACACACTCTCACAAGCTGATGAAAGCAACAGACTTTCGTATTGAATCTTTGCCTTTTCAACCTACAGAAAATAATAAATAAATAAATAAAAAGAATTTGGTCTCTCATCAAGGTAACCAAAATATTGCAAAGCCTACTTTTCTAGGAAGTTTCCAAGTTTAAATCACGGATATCCCCATGGTGAATTGGTCTTACTTATCTAAAACAACTTATTCTTTTTAGTAAAAGTGTTTGAACCAAAATGTAATAAGCTTATAAGTTGGTTTTTGGTGTTGGGCAAATGCTTCTTATACGTGTTAAATGACTAAAAAGGACATTACCAGCTTCTCTACATTGTCCTTGAAGACATTTCCTTGGGCTGCAACACTCGAATCAGCAATCAAAGTTGACTGGCAATTCTTCTTCAAAAGTCCAAGTGTACGATTAAGAAGATTTCCTACATAACATCACAGATAATAATCAAACCCAAGGAAAACGTCGCATTGGGATCTATTTATCTGTTTATTTTAGAATTTGGAGAGAGAGAGAGAGAGAGAGAGAGAGAGAGAGAAGCCCCATGCCTTTATGGTGTATCAAAGGAGGGTGCGAAAAGACAAACCAGTTACCATCCTAAGCAATTAGTGGCCCTGGACCAGTTTTGGACTCCAGGGGTAAAATCGTCTTTTATGCTTATTATTATTGTTGTTGTTATCCGTTTGAATTATATGGAGCATTACCTGCAGGTGGAGGTGGGACAGGAGTGGTGGGGGACAACCTCATTGAAGTCTATTTGTCATTATGCCCCAATTGGCCAATTGTATCTTTTCTGTTTGTTCTAGAAGGTTAGGCATTATTTTGGTGAAAAAAAAAAAACTTTTGGAGATTTTCCATACCTCTCCAATATATGTAATTTATTTGAGATTATAAATACTCTACCTTCTTTGTTTATTTGAATCTGTGTTGTACTTTGTAGTGGAGTGTGTTCTTTGATTTAGCAAGAGAGAGATAGGGTGCATACCAATGGTATTGGCAAGATGTGCATTGACAATATTAATGAAACGTTCCTCAGAGTAATCCCCATCATTTCCAAATTCAACTTCCCTCAGAAAAAAATACCTGACAGCATCAGACCCAAATCTGTGAACCAACTCATTCGGTTCAAGAGTATTCCCAAGTGACTTTCCCATCTTCATCCCATCCTAAAATTTTACACATAAAAACCAAACCACTGTGCATAAAATCAAACTATGCATATAAGCATCATAACTCTTCACTCCTCCTCTTAAACACTTAAAACTTAAAACCAATCCAAATCTTTCAAGTATGTTTGTGAATTGTGAATCATATCTTAAAATAAATATATATTCTTTCTAAAATGACAACTTGTAGTTGTATTACAACATTGACATACCTTTGTCAAGAACCCATGCCCAAATACAGTCTTGGGAAGGCTCAACCCAGCTGACATCAGCATAGCTGGCCAATAAACTGCATGAAAACGCAATATATCCTGCACAAAACATAGCAAACATAATATAGTAAGTAATACATTGTTATTAGAGTAAATTACAGAAATGGTCCCCTGTGGTTGTATGGTTGTTGGACGGGCAGTTAGAAGAAATAATGTTAAAAGAAATTAAATAAGGGTATTTTAGTCATTTTACATGGTTAAGAATATCACAAGGACTTTCTCCGTAACAAATGACAAACTCAGGGACCGTATAGTTAGAAGAAGAAAAAAGTTGGACTGAGAGTTCATTGTTCAGAATATCACAGGGACCATTTCTGTAAATTACTCTTGTTATTATGACTTATGAGTAAGGATTAAGGAATTGTAAGTACATTGCCATTACGGGTTACATATTGCTATTATTTGTAAATAATGAAAATGTGTTGCTATTATGGGTAAAGAAATGTAAGTAAATTGCTACTAGGGGTAAAAAGCAAAGTACATTTATTGATACTTAGGTGAATCAAACAAGACACAACAAAAGATCGAATTAATAGCACATATAAACGTTGAATGAGGTCCCTAACTAAGTTTTAAATGGCATCAAAACCTACAAATAAAAAAGATAACAAATACTTTGTTACAATTTACAGTTTTAAACCAATTCAAAATTTCCATTTACTATATGAAGCAAATAAAAAATTGGATAGAAAATAGGAAACTAAGAACCCCATCATACCTTTCCAATCAAGTGCAAAGAAGCAGGCCAACCTGAGGATATTGCTCTTTGTAAACTAGGTTGTTCTTGGTCCTCTGATAATGCTGATATATAACTGCATAATGGACAATGAAAAGACAAAAAAAACTTTGATAAACATGCCTAATAATTTATTAAAAAAAAAAAGGAAACCATGAAAAGGTAACTTTACCCTAACAATGCATCAAACCAGACATATATAGTTTGCTTTGGGTCATTAGGAACCCTAATACCCCAATCCACTGAAGCTCGGGAAATTGAGAAATCTCTTAGCCCACTTTTCATCCAATTTTGAACCTAAACAAGTTTATGCATCAGAGTTCAAATGGAAGTCCAAATTGTAACAATTTAAATATTGTCTAACCTCATTTAAACGATACATTGGTTGTACAAAATCTGGATTGTGCTCTAAAATATCTTCCAATCTTTTCTGATACTTTGAAAGGGCAAAAAAGTAATTGTCCTCTTTCCTTGAGACACATGGCTTTAAGTGCATTGGACAGCAATTATTTTCCAGCAACTCTTTCTCATCCTGTAGATGTTACAAAGCAATGATCTCAAAAAAATGTCCACCCTTTTCAAATTTTGTTGATATATCTAGTAATTTACCTTATACTCCTCACAATTGACACAGTATAGTCCTTCATAATCAGCTCTATAGATATCGCCATTCTCAAGAACCTTTGAATAGAATTCTTCCACAATAGCTTCATGTTTAGGATCAGTAGTGCGAATGAATTTGTCATAAGTTATATCTAACTGAAATTCAATGTAAGAAAGCAAAGCTTAATGAATGAACATTGAAGAATATATTAGTAGCATATAAGATTTATCAGTAACACTATTTACATACATCTTTCCAAAGCGCTCTATAAGATTGTGAAATTGCATCACAGTGGTCGTTTGGGGTTGAGCCACCTGCAGCGGCGGCAGTAGCTATTTTCTCCCCATGCTCATCTGTGCCCGTGATGAATATAACCTTCTTTCCGGTAAGCCTCTAACATAAAGATTAGAAATCAAATTCTCAGATTGACGTAACTAAGCCATTTCATAACCGTATTGCATTTTAGGGTTTTAAAAAGCTTTGGAATTGAGGAGATAACTCTTGTAAGACAAAATCGAAGTGACTCAACTACAAATTTGATTGGAAATGTATATGATAACAAAATTTGTTTCATGAATTTACAAACAAATTACGTAAGCAACCAAGCAGATGCGATATTCGAGAAGTTGTTAATAAATGGCGGACCTGAAATCGAGCAATAGCATCGGCAGCGATGGTGGAGTAGGCACTGCCCATGTGAGGAGGAGCATTGACGTAATAAAGAGGAGTCGTCAGGATAAAGGGATCTTCTTTTGCTAGCATGGGTGTTGAATTTGAATCTGTAGAATCTGAATTGCTACTGCAAGTGCAGTATAAAGCGGCTCCTGATCTTTTGGAAGAAGAGGAAGAAGGTGAGAACCATTTTGAACGGAAGTTGATTTGGGTTTTGTTGATGGAATTCGAAAAAGACGATGATGAGGAGGAGAAGAAGAAGGCGGTTATGCTGTTTCTCTGAAATTGAAGGGAGTGTTGCACCCTTGCCGCCATATCCACTCTTCGCCTGGGTGTTTAAGCACTGAATGGTGTTTGTATGAAGCTTTGAGTTTGGGGGATAGGGCGGGGTTTAGTTTTGGGGATGGTATCGGCGTTTTCAGACCAGTAACTTACTATGAAATATATTATATGGAAACGTCTTCCATATTGTGGCTGTAGTTTAGTGGTAAGAATTCCACGTTGTGGCCGTGGAGACCTGGGCTCGAATCCCAGCAGCCACACATTCTTTCTTTTTATTTTTTAAATAACTTTTTTAAACTCCTCTTTGATCTTAATTTGAGGGGAACATCCTTCCCTTTCCTATCTTTTTTTTTTTTGGAGGAAAGATTTTAAGGGACTTTTTTTTTTTTTATTCTTGAACTATGTGTAATACTCGTGTATTACACATAGTTTAATTAAAAGAAATCAAATATAAATGTCTAAAAATTTAAGAATTTTAGATTTATAAGAAAATAAGAAAAATAAAGGTCTAAATATTTGAGAATTTTGAAATATGAAGGTAAGTCCTTTAATGAAATTGATATTCATTTACTACTATATTTATTGTAATTATTACATTAAAGTATTATGTGAAATTTATTAAAATAAATTTACTTATAAAATGATATGTGGAAAAAAAATTAATTCAAAATAATCACAAAATGACATTTGGCAAATTGAATGAGAGTGTGATATGTGGCAAAAAAACATTCATTTATTATAGTATATGGAACTCAAAAACACACTTTATTGTCTTTCATTTTTTTGTTTCCTTAAAAAGACTTAATAAAAAAGTTTCTCTCTTTACAAAAAAAAAAAAAAAAAAAAAAAACTCAAGAACGAATGTGTGTTTTTCATAGTTACCTAATTTGTTGGTCACTCCGGTTAAGGAACGTGGATAGGGTTCACGATTCGCTAAAGTGGACGTATCGAGTATGGAGAGGTGTAGGTTCATTTTGATACGAACCGATAGTATGGTTTCGTGTACCCAATTAAAAAAACCATTTAGTCTTTAGATTTTACAAACCAAATTTCAAAATACAAGTAAATTAAGTTTAACTTAAAAAACAACAACACAGGAACATTTCAAAGTACCAAAATGGTCTCACTGTCATCTGCTCCTGAAGTGTTGTGATTCTTTCCAAAAGTCATCTAACAAATTGAAGATAAAAAACGGAAATCGAAGAGAAGAATGCAACTGTAGAATAGAAATTGAATTGTTGAGAATAAAAGTTAAATTGAAGATAGAAATGGGTAAAATAAAATGTCAAATTGGAATTTGGGTCGGTGGTACACAATATGTTGTATGAAGTCGCATAGAAACCAGGAACCACAGTGTAACACCTCAAATTTCAACCAAAATTTTTTTCATTTTTAAATTACTAAAAGCATTGTTCATAAACTCAAGTCATGAGAAATCATGGGTGTCACATACAAAACATCACACCAAATATCAGAGTATCCCAAAATCCACATAAAACATCATCAACCGGCGAATGTGTACAATCACGCCTTCTTCTTCCCGCGATCCTCAGAAGTACCTGAAACACATTAGAATCAATATTGTAAGCACAAAGTTTAGTGGGTTCCCCAAAATACCACATAACACATAAAGATGGCCACACATTACTATATCGGGTTTGTATCAACCCCGAGCCCATAATGGCCCCAAGCCCAGATCGGCTCCATCGGGTCCGTATCAACCCCGAGTCCATAATGACTCCGAGTCTAAATCGGTGATGTGCATTTTAATGTATATTTTATTTATTCAAGTTTTAGATTTATAAAACTAATTTTCTTTCAACTATACTATTAAACACACTAGGCAGTGTACCTAATCGTGTAATAGTATAGCTATGGTAAGAACAAGTGTCGAACTCAAGGAACGGTGTTTTAGCTAATTTTTATGTACTACTAACTATATTACTAATAAATAAGAAAAATGGATTTTTCTCTAGTTTTGCAAGACTAGAAACTTAAATTACCAAACTAACTATCACTATAAACTAATAAAGTAATTACTAAAACTAAAACAAGGAAGACTGAGATGATTTAATCAAGGTAATTGAGGTACTTTCGTTTAGCTTCGGATTATTTGTTATTATGATTGATTCATGGAAGTGCAATGGATTTTAGTTTCATTGGTTACCGATTCCTAAGATGACCAAATTAGTGTTCACTCATTTAATCCTTTGGCAAACAAGCTCATTTATACGGTGATCAGGCGAACAAACTAACAAGTTTACTAGTGTTCAGGTCGAGTTGATTAGACTTATAAATAATTGATCAAATTGGTCGTTTGATTCAATTCTATATATGATTGGTCGTCATATATTAGCTCCTACACTTTTTTACCCACTTTCCTACTTAACCCTAGGTTTTGTTCAAAACTCTAGTCCTACAATTTGGTGGTTGCAAAATCATAAGATACAAATTTAACTAAGAAAGATGGTCATGCAAACTTAATTAAATTCAGCAGTAAGTAGAGAAAATAGTTATCAAAAGTACGTGAGGTTCTTTAATAAGCTAGATCAACAAATAACCAATAAAAACTAGATCCTATCCATAAATCAATTCATAATTAAGCAAACAGTCCTAGGCTAAACGAAAGTCATGAGGTTTAGCCCATGATTTCAGCAACAAAGGTCATAAAAACGAAATTCATAAGCAAAGACATGATCAATCTAGAAAAGAAAACCGTAATTAAAAGTTTTATTGCCTTAATGCTCTCAATTCCCAAGTTTTAATTGGTTTCTTCACTTCCAAGCCTTAATTCTGAACTTTGGTCTTCGAAATTTATCAGAAGCTTCAGCCAAAAGGTTCTCAATTCGATAGATAATGAGTTATATTTATAGTTTTCCCGAAATCAGGGCACCATGACGTGTTGAGGCCACCATGTCGTGGTCTTCGTGGTTATCCTGTATTCAGCAAGTCTTTGAAGTCAATCGGGAAATCTCAAAATACCATGTCGTGTTAGGGTCACCACGACGTGTTATGTAACATCCCAAAAATACAACCCAAAAATTTTTGTTTCAATATTACTAGAAACCCACAATATAATGTGTCATACGATAAAACCATGAATCGTGTGTCTCAAAATGTCATAATAAGTTTATCAAATCAACTGATGTCCAAACATATCAAAATATCTGAATAAAAACTCCCAGGATAAACTGAAGCTGTGGTGTGTGCCATGCCATCATCCCGAGCTCTTCCCCTTACTAGCGGAAGTACCTGAAACCAAAAACTAAAACTGTAAGCACAAAGCTTAGTGAGCTCCCCCAAACTACCACATACCATACAATAACATATAAAGCAACTACTGGGCCTTGCCCACTGCATCGTACCGAAGTCCGGAAACTGCATCGGACCGAAGTCCGGAACTAACCAGGGCCTTGCCCTCTGCATCGGACCGAAGCCCAGAAACTGCATCAGACCGAAGTCCGGAACTAACCAGGGCCTTGCCCTCTGCATCGTACCGAAGTCCGGAAACTGCATCGGACCGAAGTCCGGAACTAACTGAACATAGCATAACATAATCATAACTACTGGCATAAACACATATACTGCATACAGCATCGGACCGAAGTCCGGAATACATAACACAAAGACATACTTGAATCACAAAGACATCAAGCACACTGAACTACTGCATCAGACTGAAGTCCGGAACTACTGCATCGGACCGAACCCCGGAAACTGCATAGGACTGAAGTCCGGAGCTAACTGTAACGCCCCGATTCTTAGGTATTGATTTAATGTGTGAGTTCTTGATTTCAAGGGCTACTCGACGAGTTGATTGCCCTACTCGTCGAGTAGCAGCGGGTTGGTCCACGTATTTTAATGACCTACTCGCCGAGTCCAAGAAGGGACTCGACGAGTAGGAGATGGCAGATGAAACCCTAAATCTCGGGGTTTTGCACCTATTTAAAGGATCATTGGCCTCCCCCAGCCTCCCCTTTACTGCCCCTTGTCCCTCTCAAACCCTAAATCGTGTGTGTGTGTGTTCTTTTGGTGTGTTCAAGCTTGGAGGAGGAACTTTGGAGAAGGAAACACTTGGGGAAGCAAGGAAATCAAGGCCAGGAACTCGTGGGGAGCTAAGAGATTCATCAGTTGTCACTCTCTGGAAGGTATTAAGTTGTTCCTTTAGCTCATCTCTCTTTTAACCTCTTTTGGATGGGTTTTATGAAAGGCTCCCCATGTTTAAGCTAAGATCTGAAGTTGTAACTTCAGATCTGGACTCCCTTTGACCTCTAGATCCATAAAGTCATCAGCCTTGCCTATTAGGAGCCTTCCCTCAAGTGTGAGACTTCATTCCAAGCTTAGTTTTGCCATTTAAGGGTCTTAAAGCTTTGCATGCACGTAAAGTTTGCGACTTTACGTGATAAACATGCCCTAGAAGCTTGGATCTGTAATCTGGAACCTTGCCATGGCTTTAAAAGCATCTGCATGGATAAAGGTCTGCAAGGACTTTGCGAGTTGGATGAACAACTAGGCGAGCCCGTTGAAGATGGCCATGAACTCGACGAGTGGATGAACAACTCGGCAAGTCCGTTGAAGATTGCCTTGAACTCGGCGAGTCGTTCGAAAACTCGGCGAGTCGGCTAGGGTTTCTCCCAATTCTTGGACACATATGGACTCGGCGAGTTAAAGGGGAACTCGACGAGCCAATCAAGGATTTCACGACTTCTCGAGTTCAGGAAGGACTCGACGAGTCGGTGAACTGCACTCGACGAGTCGAGTCAACATGGACTGTTGACTTTGACTGTGGACTTTGACTAGGACTAAGGGTTGACCAGTTGACTTATGAGGGTATTCTGGTAATTCGAATATTTATGAAAAAGGGGTTTTATGGTATCTATAGGTGGTGGAGTTCGTGTTGGTGATCCGAGAGTTGAGCTTTCTAGTTTCAGACGACAGTTGCAAGGTGAGTTATCCTCACTATACTAAGGGGTCTAAGGCACCAAGGCCGGCCCATTGGATATGTTATCCTAGCAGTGTTAGAGGTTGAGTACGAGTTAGTGTTGCATGCTAGTGGTTATGCCAGTTAGGTAGATCGGTAGGACTACCTGTGATGTTATGTGGTTATTGCATGCTCAGTGGTTAT